GTTTGAGGCGCTTTAGTCGCCAGAGCTCCTTGACAGTGATAGCAGCATCGGGCTCGTTGGTGTCCTGGCGGGTCTGCCCTGTCGGGTGGAGTCCAGCCGATGCGATAAGGTGTTCCCAAGTTTTGCGGAGGAGGTCGTTGATATGTCTGCATGGGTCCTCCCCCAGAGGGGTGGGGTGGAGGCGCAGTTGGAAGGCCATGGAGTGCGCCAGTTTGGGACCAAGCTCGGGGTCCTGGGCCATGGCCGCACGCACAGCTGCGGCGGTACAGGTCTTGGATGGTGGCTTAGGTGATTTGGGTATCAGTTTGGGGCCAGGCCAGGGCATCGTGGTATGCATGGGGAGGTGGCGGTTGCCTTGTAGGGGAACAAACGGTACTTTGCGCAGAGCTCCTGCGCGGCGGGTTTGGCGGTCAGACTGGCCCTCACGGCAGAGGATATAGTCAATGCGAGTACGAGTGGCATGCTGTCCGGTGCCCGCAACGTATGTAGCCGCATTGGCCTGGCGGCCGAAGGTGGTAACGGCCAGGAGCTGATGATCCCTGAGGAGGCTCTGGAGTCTACCGTAGTCCTTCTGTGGTGGCGTTGACTTATCCACTCTGTCCGCTGACCGCGCAAGTCGGGGGGCGTCCGGTGGTGGCACACACTGGGTGTTGAAATCTCCCAGTACCACAAGCTGATGACGCTGGGCAATACGGCCAATAAGGGTTGATAGAGAGCTCCAGACCTTTTCTCTGCACTCCAAAAGCTTTTCCTGTGTGGGGGTGGTTGTGGAGTTGGTGGACCAGCAGTGCTGGTAAAGGCTGATGAGGGAGATAGGTGGCTCAGTAGCGAGTTTAGTGTACAAGATCCGGCCTGGCAAAACATGGTCCGTGCGCACCTGATGTGTGCTGGCCAAATCCTGGTGGATCAGGTGGAGGATGCCTGCGCTGCGGGACTTGCCATCCAGGGAGCTGTGCAGGTGCCAGTAGCCTTGGGCCTGCCATTCGCTGGTGAAGGTTCAATGGGTCTCCTGGATGGACAGAGCGTGGACCGGGCGTCCTTGGAGGGCCTCCAGGTGTAGCCAGACATAGATTTCATCAAGCTTGGCAGTACTGAGGCCTCCGGCGTTCCAAGAGAGGATTCTGACTCTGTCCGGGGTAATGGCAGTCTCAGGCGGGGTGCTGGCAGAGGCCTGGGCACAAGATTGAGATGGCACGGGGGTGTCGGAGTGATAGAGTCGGCCTTTGTATCGAGCGGTTCCTGTGGTGGCAAGTCGTCGCAGGAACCTGGCATAGGAGCGTTTCTTGACAGACGAGGTGAGTGCTGCAGGTGGCGATGCAGTGTCGCCTGAGGTAGATGGCGCGCGAGGCTTCGCCGCACTGTGCGGCCTTCGAAGTGCAGTGATAGCGACTTCAGGGGAGTTCGCGACTGTCTCCCCAACCCTCGCACCTGCCGAACTCAGAAGCTGCGATCCTAGTATGATGGCCTTGAGATAGGCTGGTGTGTGTCCTTTAGTTTGCTGCTGAGTTCGGGCCCCGGATTTGGGACCGGGGCGGCTCGCTATGGTAGAAAAGAGGGTGTGTGTGTTGGGTCCACTCCATGTGTTGCAGGGCTCACTGTCGCCCAGGAGGAATATGTCAGAATCAGACTGGCACTGTTTGAGCCTGAGGGCATGCACGGACTGGGAGGAACCAGAACACAGTGCATGATTGCAGGCTGTAAGCAGTTTTCGTATGATCATCAGTGGTGGTCCGTCCAGCCTCACCCGTCCTTTGGGGAGGCAGATATAATTCCTCCAGGGAGGTCTAGTCCAGGCTGTGCAGGTCCAAGGCCAGGGCTTCACTCGGAGGCGGAGGCTGGTACCAGGCTTTCGGGATGGGCAGGCTCGACAGCGTCCGTGCGGTCTGGCGCATGGAGCCTGCACAGTCCGCATGCCGGTGACGGCACAAACTCCGCTGGGTCCCCTGCCACGGCGTGTTCGGCAGTAGCGGCGTCTCGTAGCTCAGCTCGCCAGGCACTGTGGCATAGGGAGATCTGGGGCCAGTTAGCGAAGATCGGAGTCGTATCAGAAACCAGCCGGTAGCCAGCGCAAACATGGAATGCCGGCGACGCCTCACTTGACGTGTGGGCCTGGCTGGGGCGAGGACGTCCCTGACAAACCGCGCAGGTCTCATCGGGCCGCACGGCTTGGTAGCAGTGCGGCCACCCTTCCATCCAATGGTCTCTGCACACAGGGATAGAAATGGCCGAGGCGTTTCGGAGTGAAGTGGCTCTGGCACGGCGAAAGCCTGATAGTCTGCGTGCTTCTCTTCGCGCGGACCTGTCGCCAGGAGGGCCAGGGGGCCGTTGCATGCTATGTGACCGAGGTACAACGGCGCAGCTGAGGCCGGCGCTGTTGCGAGAGCGGGTGGTGCGCTGCCACTGAGATCTGACATCCAGACAGACTCTAGAGATGGGGGCGGCAGCGCCTGGTCAGGCAGTGAGTGTGGCTTCCAGGTCCCCAGCCACAGCTGCCACCCGTGAGATGGACCTTGGGGTTGAGAAGTTCGGCGGGTCACGCAGGTCCAGGCTTTAGTGTGGCAGCAGAGTGAGTGCATAAGGCAGCTGGGCAGGGTAGAGCCGCAGAGGGTCGCACTCACTTTTTGTAGCGGAAGCAGCCTGGCCTGGGAGGAGTCACTCAGGGCTCTCCAGGCTCTCGAGGCTCGCAATGCTCTCAGTCTCCGTGGCAAGCGTCCAGGCCGACTCACACGAGGGCGATCTCTCGACTTCAACTTCCACGGTGACCCGCTGCTCCTCAGACTCCGGGTGGGTAACATCCGGGATCCTGTCTTCGAACGGAACACGGGGAGGACGGTACCTGGTTTTGGCCTTGGAGTAGTCGAAGTCCAGCTGCAGGACGGCAGCTGGTTCGTCCCAGTCGGGCTCCAGATGCCAGATGCTGGGTGCCACCGCTGGTCCAGATTCCAGGGGCGGAGGTGCCCTCTCCTCCGCTTTCTTGGGCATCTTTTTGGGCTTCGGCGGCATTCTCTTGGGGATCTCCTTCGGCGCCACATTTGAGCTGCCTTGGCTGCCCCTGCTGGTTGCTGGAAGGCCTGGACCATCTGGATCGTGGTGTCGTGGGGAGCCTGGGCCGGCAGCTTCTGAAGATGCCCGCGGGCGCTTCTTCGGAAGAGGGCGAAGCCTGCCGTCCGGCGTCGTCGCCGGTTTGGGCCGTGCCCGTGGCTGTGGTTCGGAGTCCGGCGGAGAGTCCTTCTGCAAGTCGTCGGCCTGTGGCTCATCATCTTCCGGATCTCCTGCCCCTGCCCGCATCGACCGCCAGATGGCCATGGAGTACCTTGTGATAGGTGGAGGCGCTCGTCTCCAGCGGGCTCTTTGTAGAGCGCGTCGCGTAGCCAGTTGTCGGGCCCTCCTGAGGGGGCATTGTCCTTGGCGTCCGCGAGGACGGAGTAGCCACGAGGGTTGATCGGAACCATTGTGCGCACGGCGGGAGGCTCACGCTACACGAGGCAATGGCAGGGCGCCTGGGACCAATGCATGCCTGGGCCTGTCTAGGAGTGCCTAGCATGGGGCTATGAGTCAAGCCTTGCACCGGGGTGGGGGGGAATTGGTCCTCCCTTGGAACCTGTTCTGCTCCCTGGACGTGTGCCATGCTGTTCTGCTGTGAGCAGCTCAGATAACAGGTATCTTGAAGTGAGGCGCTGCTGGCAACAATGGCAGTCAGCTGCAGCAACCGGCGTAGCATGCAGTAACCTGGGATCCGAGGCCGCAGCAAGTCTGGCGCCGGAGGAGAGGACACAGCTGTCGCGTGCAGCTCCGGCTGGGCCCCTGTCGTGGCAGGAGGCGAGGGCGGTGCCAACCTCAGTACGGCATGCATTGGTTGTGGTCGACCCGGATGGCTCAGAGTGAGAAGGCTGAGCACTGCAACTATTGCTGCTGGCAGGGTGCCTGTGAACGGCAGTGCAGTTATTTTTCCGCCGGCTTGGACAGTGATTGACGTCCGGGTGAACCGGAAGAAGAGCACGCCAAGGAGGCAATACCTGAGGCCAGTGGCCGTGTCGAGGATGCTGTGGAAGAGGTTCTTCTGCTGCACTGCTCCTTCTAGGGACCACCAGATCCAGATCCAGGTCCATTGGGCCCACTGGGACGGATATGGATCGTAATTGTCCATCCTTGAGTGTGGACCGTGGTAGTGGTGGAAGTGGGGGCAGCTGCTCGGATCGGTCGAGACGGAGGTCTGGGTCCCGGGCTAGAGGGGCCAGGGCCGACAGGTCCGCATCCTCTCCATAGCTCGTCGCTGGTGTAGGCAGTGGCGGTCCGCTCGGGGGACTGTTAGTCGTAAGTGGGCCTGGCGAGTCCGTTGGCACAGCTGCTGGCAGGGGAGCCATGGCTCCTGCAGGGGTAACCCATGGCAGCGGTGGGGCCGGCAAGGCCTCGACGGTTGCCGGCGGAGCTGCAGTAGTAGTAGTAGTAGTAGTAGTAGTAGTTGCAGTAGTAGTATAGTAGCAGCAGCAGCAGCAGCAGGAGGAGGAGGAGTAGTAGTAGTAGTAGCAGTAGTACAGTAGTAGCAGTAGTAGCAGTAGTAGCAGTAGTAGCAGTAGTAGCAGTAGTAGCAGTAGTACCAGCAGTAGCAGCAGCAGTAGTAGTAGTAGTAGTAGTACCTACGGCTTCCATAACCTGCTTTAAGGCGGGTTGATTGTCAGGTACCGGGTTATTGACCAACTTGTGGAAAGTACCTGGTTCTTCAACATAAAACCTGGTTTGGAACCTGCTTTCTTCCATTGCTGCTGGGTCGATTGAGGGTTGTAGCCGGAATTCGAAGGCACACAACCAGGCTCGAGAGGAGCCTTTGTGGTAGAATGTGGGCGAGGGCCTGCTGAAGCTGGGATGCCTGGGCCTTGGAAGGCTTTGAATCATGCCGCTCACGAGTGGTCTGAATTTTCATAGCTGCATATCGCATGCGCAACAATCGTAGCTCCTTTTGGCTTCAGGGCTCGTTTTGTGATTTCCTCGAGTTTGGGGTCATGGCGGGACCCAAGTTCGATGCGGAAGGCTTGAGAGATGAGTGGGATTCGATTGAGGCCATCCGAATCCGTCTGCGCTCCGGGGAACCTTTGCTTGATGGTACAATGTCCGAATACTCGATCAACAGATGCAAGGCAAATCGGGATGTCATGATTCCTCTATTGCTTCGCTCTGTGGCCTCTGATCACAAGCGCCCAGAGGTGGAGCTTCTGAGAGAAGAGATCGAAAATTTGCTGATGATGAATCAGAGAGAGTTTTCGGAGTCGCATATTGATGATATGGCATGGGAATTGCGCAAACTTCTTATTTTCATCAAGCGGAAAACCCAGCGACACGAGGTTTCCTTAGCTTCCCGGCTGGATTCAGTTTTTTGCCATGTATCGTATGCATACGTATGTACATTAGAACCGGCTGTACTAGCTTCAAAGCTGGGCCCTTATAAGCTTCCACATCCCAGGATCCGGATTTCCAGGATATGTGCCTCATCCTGAACCCGGATTTGCAGGCTCGGGCACCGGATTTTTTTCTAAGCCAGGTTCATCTTCAGTGTCTTCGTCGGTGCTCACAGCTTGACTTGTCTGTGTGTGTGTGTGTGTGTGTGTTACTCTAGCTGTGTGTCAATTCGTAGCTATCTAGAGTCGAGTTCTTAAAGCTTTTTATAAGATTTATATGGGGCTTGCCAGGGTTTAGCCTAAGATCGTACCGACCCGGTGCTCAGCAGGAGCTTGTCGACGCGCGCCGTCGGCCTGCAGCCGAGGACATTCATGCATGCGTGCATCACACATATAGAGAGTTGCACGTCTGGGGAATATACATGTGTTTGCAGCATGCATTCATTGTACATCGAGGAGTCGCCTGATGATGATGCTGGTGCAACAAGTGATCCAGAAAACCCTGACCCCAGACCAAGTGCAGCATCAAATCCGGCAGCTACGACTACAACGCCGACGAGCACAGCTTCGATGACTCCCCCAACGGTGGCACCCAATCCACCTACTAGTGATGCTAGTGTAGAAGCGGCTCCAGTGCCGGCCCCAGTGGTTGCAGAGACGGGTCCAGCTCCGATCAGTGCCCCAGCGTGTGCAGAGACGGGTCCAGCTCCGATCAGTGCCCCAGCGGGTGCAGAGACGGGTCCAGCTCCGATCAGTGCCCCAGCGGTGACCCCCAATCGACCTGCTAATGCATCAGATTCGGTGCCACTCCCAGCGAGTCCTGCAGCGCAAGCCCACCCGTGACGCCTCCCCCACGAGCTTCGACCAGCATCCCGGTTGCATGCAGGATAATATTGATTGAGTGGGATTCGTTTTGATCAGCACACGATGGTTGCAAATTCTGCTTCAAAACCCTGATGTGGCAATGATTGGTTTGGTATTCGGTTTCCATGCTGCATGCTATTCAGGATCTCCTTCCGGGCCGACTCCGGACGAGGACAAAACCCTTGCCCCGGATGAGGTCGAGAATCGCCGACGACAGCTGTTGAATAAGCAAAGGATTTTGCAGGCACAGTTGAGCTTGCAGACGCTTCTTAGCTCGATCTTCTGCATTTTACGATTGCTCGATGTTTGCGAATGTGAATAATTCGATACGAGTGAAAGCACTTCTGCAACATCAGGAATTAGTTTATTGTTCGATCCATTTGCGATTACCGGTTGTGTGTAAGGCTTCGGAATGCAAAGATGCGGGCCTCTGCGCCCCCAGCTGCTGTGAGCTCTCCGGCTCCTCCGGTGGCCACTCCTGTGGCGACAAGTGACTTATCGAATAATTGTCAGTGTCGCATAGTGTCACAGCCTTTGGCTTCAATTAGAACTCCACATTTGGAGTTGGTGGGTGTCCTGTTGCAAACCATATCCCAGGATCCCTGGACTCTGACGAGACCCAAGTGATGGACATGTTTGATTGCCCTACCCCAACTGAGCATGCTGTTCCTTGTGACTTGGCCATCGACAAAAGCTTGCCAGCTGATTTCCTTCGTGATCAGTATCAGCACGGTGTGGATGCTCATGCAACCCCAACACGACTGTTGTTTGCTGCAGAAACCGAGCCGATTGCTGAAGCCCGATTGCTAAAGCAGCCGAGCTGCCTGCTGAAGCACCCGAGCCAATCGCTGAAGCACCCGAGCCGAGTGCTGAAACACCCCAGCCGATGGATCCTCTCCATGATGATGAGCCCATTCCGGATGAGTCGAAGGAGGCATGTTGCAGCCATGCATGCAATATGTTGCTGATCTATCATTGACTAGCTCTGGTATGCTCTTCTACAGGGTATGAGTTCGGCTTTTGTGAACAGTTTGACAGCCATTCCCATCATTGCTCATCTTTATATGGCTCTGTAGTCATGCCAGTGATGGACTTCACAACCGGGCTGCAATAGGATTTATGTTCAGCCCCACATAAATCTGAACTCGATTCTCGCCTCTGTATCTCGGCAGGTGCTTTCTCGGCGCGAGCAGCTTGGCCTGCGCAAACGCAAGAAGGACGTGAACAAGCTGGCCAAGGCCAAGAAGCCAGCTCCCAAGGAGAAGGTTAAGCGCAAGAAGTCAGGGCTGTGTAAATTGCGCCGAAGCAAGCAGGCCTTGAAATCCGTGGCTTCCGGCAGTGGGGATCCGATGCCCGACGGTGATACTGAGGCCTGGTGGTCACGAGCAGACCACTGGGTTTGGGATGATGAGATGAACAATTATGTGAAGCTCGAGAAGGGTGATGGCTACATTAGTGTCCAGACACCTGAGGATCATGATGATGCTGCTAAGCCTGCTAAGAAGGTCAAGACCAAATGCAGGGTCAGAGGCAAGACCCCGGAGGCTGAGCCCGAGGAGTTGGAAGAGTGTGCCGCCCCGACCCCGAAGCCGAAAGCAAAGGCGAAGTCCAAAGCAAAAGCTTCCCCGAAGGCTTCCCCGAAGGCTTCCCCGAAAGGTGCTGCAAAGGCGAAGGCCAAAGCAAAATCCAAGTCGAAGTCCAAAGCAGAAGCTTCCCCAAAGGCTTCCCCGAAAGGCGTTGCAAAGGCTAGCAAGAAGGGCGGCCGTCGACCCAGGGCATCGTCAGTTGCGGCTTACGATGTTGAGGAGCGCGATGTGGAGTGGATTTCCGATTGGGTTCGGGAGTCAAATCTCACAGGGTCTCTCGATGAGTTCAAGCTGTCTGTCCGGCCCTTCCTCCCCGACAATTCGTTTGGATACCGGTGCAACATCTACTGGACAACGGCTAAGTGCGGTGTGACACTGAGATTCACGGATGAGTCTGGTGAGAAGAAGCAAACCGATCTCGTGACGTTTGGCTTTGGCAAGACACGCCTAGCAACAGCTGTTGCGATTTCCTGTGCCTGTTCCGTTGCAGTTTGGTTGCATTGAGACTAAATAGAGTTCACCTATGCATGTAAACATACCACTGTCGAGCTTCTGTCACTTCTACGAAAAGTATCCCAACAGGCCCCGTATGAATTCATAAAAAAACACCTGATTCCCAGGTACAGCACCTCCAGCAGGAGGAGATCGTGGACCCGGAAAGCGAGGAGATCCTGCCGGTCATCGACTATTGGAAGACAGCCGGCCGTGTTACTTTCGATAACCTGGAGCATGAAGGGCTGTAGGCGATTCCAGTGAAATCAGACTACATCAATTTCGGCACATGGATCCTTGACATGCCAGCATGGCCGAATGCCGGGGCATGACATTCTTGGTAGCTGTGCGTAGCTCATGCCAGGGTTGTGCATTGCTGTAGGATGAATAGTAGCGCTGTGCTCGCCTCCGAGTTTTGTGGCATCCGCCATTCAACGGCACTGAAGATGTTAACCATGCAAAGCATATGTACGACCGGCCCAATGTAGCTGTGTAAAGTTTTGCCGTGATGGTGGGCGATGCAGCATCACTTCGCAGATGCTCGGTGGTGCAGCGATAAGAGTTGCATCATCGTTTTTCACCGAAACGGTGGATTCATTATCAGACTGCAGTCTTGGAGCATGCCGGGGTCACAGGCATCGTTGCAAAACCTGCGGATTCGTGTTTGTGTGCACTGACAAGAACAGTCGACGTTGCTGCTAGAAGTCCATGCACGTACTCAATGCATTCACCATCAGCCAGATATATATCTCTGAATGCATTAATCCCGCATTGCCGCATAGATCTAGAAACGATCTCTTCGGCCCAGGTCATCATGGGCCGCAGACGGCGCACGACTCGAAGGACGACACACTCTCGACGAAGCAAGCAGCGGAAGCACAGGCTGAACCGTGTGCGAGGCATGTTTGGTGCCAGACATGTTTGCTATTGCCGTCGAAGACAGCAGTGTAATTGTGCACGAGTTCAATGCTGCATCATGTCGATCACAGCTGTGTTTGCTGTATCATGTGAACACTGCTGTCGGAATTTTCAGGCTCCGACATCCTGTGCTGAAACAAACGACACTGAAGCCTCATGTGAACTGAAGCCTGTGACTTCAAGTTGATCCTGTAGTGTCATCTAGCACTAAGCCCCCGAACCCACGAAATCTTTGGCAATCCTTCGACATAATGATCTCCGTCGATCTGCTCGTGCACAACCTGGCCGTGCTGGGCGCACCCCGTGCATTTCGGCGATATGGAATATTGCAGAATAAGAGCAGTTGATGCTTCGCAGGGGTTTAGAACGCAGGTTTGGGGGTTTATGGGTTTAGGAGTCTGGGGGTTTAGGGGTTTCGAGCTCTGGGGCTTGAGGCTTTATAGTGTTTGCTGCGGGGTTTCTATATAATATAGGGGCTTTAAATCTAGCTAGGCCGGGGCTCCCAGTTACGTAGGGGCTCAGGGTCTATAGGTCCAGGTTGTGGGTTAATTTGGGTGCTAGGGCCAATTTGATTGTTGTGAAGCTTAACTTGGCCTATATGGGTTGAGCGAATCAGTTGGTCTGGTTGCAGCCTGGGGTTGGGTACTTTGGGAATCGGCTCCTGTGGCTTCTGTGCCTGGCTTGGGACTCGTCGCCTAGATGGCTGGCTGTCTTCACAATAACAGACCACAGCTCCGTAACTTGCATATATATATATATATGAGATCATAAAGCTGCTAGTTGTTTCGTATGCCGAATAAGTATCACGACGACTTGTGTACCACCCGCTGCTAGAACCACTACCGTGCTAGTAGTCCACGCAATACTAGACTGGTACTGTAGTATGCTGCATCACCATACAGTAGTCTAAAAACTGCTGCTGCTGATGATCTGGTGCCTCCTCGTGACCTGTTTCTGCTGCTGCTCCTGCTCGTGGTAGCTTAGCCTACTGTCGGTGGCTACCGTAGTGTGAAACGACATACATGTACATACGCTCCCTCTCTATATACATACAGGTATACTATGATTGCGATGACTAGCAAATACTGATTTTGTAGCTTCCCAAGACCAACGAGTGCTTTCTGGAGGTTCTCGGGGTCCACGAACATTCCTTCCACAAACCCCAAGCAAGCCTCGGCCTTACTCAAGCCCTGTGAGCCCGCGGTCTCAACTCAGTAAATTTACACTTCCTCAATATAGCCTCGAATTCCGAAGCCCAATCCCTGCCCGGTAGAAAATGACGACAACTTCAACAACAAAGCTGCTTATGTTGCTTGCATGAACTCAGAATGCTTTAGCAGAGACTTAGGGTGCTATATAGCTTCATGAGTTTGTAAATCTGATCGTACGAGGTATTTACATCTAACTGTGCAGATAAGCCTGATTTGATTGTTAGGCAACTCCTACACATTCTTTATAGACCCTATATACAAAGACCCATAAACCCCTAAATCCTTACAAGCATCAAGCCCCAAACCCTCCCAGGGATTCGTGCTGCTGGTCCTCATGGTGATCTGGACCGAAGGTCTGTACGATCTCAGCGAGGCCGGGCAAAGACTTTTCGTGGATGGGTTCGATCTATACGTGTCTGTGTGTGGGGATCATGGAAGCATCTAGTTGCTGTGTTGCGGCAGGAGTTTGACTGGCTGGAGTTCTTCGCTGGCCATGCCAATGGCGCCCGAGCTGTGCGGCTCCGTGGGTTTAAAGGGGCAAGGTTCGATTTGAACTACAGGAAGGACACCGGAATGCATAGCAACTACCAGGACATCACCACGCCTTCTGGGTTTTGGTTGCTTGCTTTTAAATTTAGAAGCCATCTGTTCGTTCCATGGATGTGTGCACATCCAGTTCTTGCATTCTTGCTGTCCGAGCACGACAGATCGATTGCACAGAGATTCTGGTGATTGTGAGACCAACAAAGAGAGGGAGGGAGGGAGAGACAGAGAGAGAGAGAGAGAGAGAGAGAGAGAGAGAGAGAGTGTGTGTGTGAGTGTGTGTGTGTGTGTGAGAGGCCACAAATAGAAAAGGGAGACACACAGACAACCTGCACACACATACACCCAAAGAGACATGCATGTATATCAGTGCAAAGTGACAATATGCAAACTGATAGAAGAACACAGGTATAATGCACGAGTGCATGCACACCCCGCAGGCACGCCCACACGTCCACCCACGCGCATTGGTCACGCATGTACGTGCACATGCAGACACACAAATGCGCATGCTTGTGCAGAGCCGGCTGGGAAGGGAGGGGGAGGAGCAGGCAAAGCATCGAAGGCCAAGGGAAGGTGAGGACAGGAAGGGAAGGCACGATGTAATTGTTGCGAGTTCGGGCATGTTCTCTTATATGGCAGATCGAGCGAGAAGATGCGGTAGAGGCAGAAAAAAAGAAGAAACAGAGAGAGAGAGAGAGATACGCAGAGAGAGAGAGAGAGAGGGTGCGACAGGGATAGAGAGAGAGAGAGAGAGAGAGAGAGAGAGAGAGAGAGAGAGACAGAGAGACACAGAGGGAGAGAGAGGGAGAGAGAGGGAAACCGAAGCCGAAACCGTCCTTGACTCCTTGCCTTTCTCCCCCTCCCTCGAACACACACACACACACACTCTCTCTCTCTCTCTCTCTCTCGCTCTCTCTCTCTCTCTCCCGCTCTTTCTCTCTGTCTTTGCTTCGCTCTCGCTCTCTTCCTCTCTCTCTCCCTCTCTGCTTCTCCCGTTTCCATCCCCACAAGGTATTATCGTTTCAGTGTCTTGCAAAGTCTACTCTCTCCCCGCTTCTCTTCTCCCCTAACTCTACCCTCTCTCTCTCTCTCTCTCTCTCTCTCTCTCCCTCTCGCTCTCTCTCTCTCTCTCTCTCTCTCTCTCTCTCTCTCTCTCTCTCTCGCCCCTCTCTTTCTGCCTGTATCGACCTCCCTCTCTCCGTCTCTCCCACTCTCGCTCTCGCTCTGTCTCTCTCTCTCTCTCTCGCTCTCTCGCTCTCTCCCTCTCTCTGTCTCTCTCTCTCTCTCTCTCTCTCTCTCTCTCTCTCTCTCTCTCTCTCTCTCTCTCTCTCTCTCTCTCTCTCTCTCTCTCTCTCTCTCTCTCTCCTATACTGCATGTATCCTTATCTATCCGTCTCTGCAACCAAGTCTCGCGATTGTCTTCATACTGAAGTGCCGGGTCCAGAACTTTGCCGTTTGGTTCGGCCTCAAATGCTCGTCTTGGTGCGGGCTCAACGTTGGGTGTTCGGGGAGATCAGCTTCAGCGAGCATCGGTTTCTCGGAGAAGCCGTCTGTGGCAGAAGGCAACTGCATGCTGGAAAGGACCGGTGGGAGCAACATCACACAGTCAACTAGACACGCGCTGAATATATGTGCCATACATTCCGAGAAACCTGAAGCCTAGCCTGGGAAATCTTCTACGTGTGCATCAGCAACCTGAAGAAGCCTGGTTGTGATTTCCATAGCAGGCAAGCCAGCTGCCACGTTGTATCGAGTATATATATATATATAGACTATATAGCTAAAGTATGCATCCTTCTAGACCAAGAAAACATCATAGAGTAGATCAATGCACATGCAAGCTGCACAACCCTGCCCGGAAGCCCCCAGAGGAACCCGATAAACCCAGGCAGACCCCACTAATCCTCCGAAGCCCTAAATCCTAAATCCCTTAAGATGCCGGCCACAGGGTCACTCTGCTGTGCTACCTCATCACCGCCTGCGGTGGCTGCTGGATTCTGGAACAGCCAAGTGGATCCTTGATGGAGTACTACCCCACTTGGCGGCATCTGTTGGTTGCTTTGTTCCAGGTTGATGGAATGGGAGCCGTAGGTTCCCCAGTCAGGCATACATTTGGTGCAGATCGATTGCTTTGTGTGTTCCCGCATGCGTCACATTCAGGCAAGCCAGCGATTTGTCATGAAATAAATTAAAACATGACTCTACTTCTCTGAGGCGAGCCGTGTGGGATGGTACATGGGTGCCTACTACGCAAGCAGCCTCAAGCGCCAGTTTGCATATGCCAACTCACCTGCTATCCGACGTCTTGACAGGGGCCAGCTGCAAGTGACACGGGCAAGGCTGCAGAGGTCGGACCGGACAATCAAGACCCGTCGTTCCTACACCAACAAATCCGGAAAGCTTTGCTATCAAGGGACGAAGGAGCTGAAAGCCACAGAGACGCTAGACTACAATACCTATATATGTCTACACTACTGCACACATACATACACATATGTGTATATATATATATATATACATATATATGTATATAAGTACATATTATATATATATGTGTGTATATATATATATATATAAATATAAATATAAATATAAATATAAATATATATATATATATATATATATATATATCGTGATCTGAATAAATATATATGTACACATTATGTCGATGATCGATGATCGGTCGAGGGTTTATACGGTCGAGGGTTTATATCTATGTAGCTGGCTAATCTAGATCGAGAGATCATCCCCACGCAGGCAGTCATAAACAACGTAGATGTCATTAAACCCGGCCTACAGTATTCCAATTAAGTGGTTCTATGCTGTGTGCATCTGAGGAAATATCCCGTGCTGTTCGGCCTGGCCATTGCGAAGATCTTTGAGGAGCTGAAGGCCTCCGCCAAAGGATGCCCGGCAACACCGGGTACCCAAGTCCCAGGGGCTTTGACCAGTTTCTTGGGTATCCCTGAAAGTGCGGAGGCGGATCTGTATGAGTTTGCAAGGCTCGGGGCTGCCTATGAGTATATTAGAGGAGGCAAGAGTCTTCGGATTCCACAGGAATGGCGGGCCTATCTTCCATACACAATTCCCTAGCTATTTCTAGGTCATTTCGTGCAAGCCAGCTGCTGGTGTTGAAAGCGGGTTCTGGCTTTGTTAATATACATATTGCGTTTTAGAAGCGTTTTTAGCTGATTTTACATGATTTACGCACATCAGCGCTGGAAGAAAGCAGGTTGGCAGGCCTAAACCCGAAACCTTCCCGACCGAACCCGAAACCTTCCCGATGTAACCCGAACTCCTCCCGATGTAACCCGAATCCTTCCACCCGACCTGCTTTTGGGCAAAGCGTACGGAACCCATACAAACCCCGTAATCTCCCGAACAAAACCCGTAATCCCCCGTAGTGCAAAACCGGGTTTTGGGCCATGCCATTTTGGGTGCATTTTAGACACCAAATTAAAGATCCGAGCGTCCCTGAACCGTGGTTTGCCCACGTGCTGGGCGGAAGGCATCGATCCGTCTGAATCCAAAAGGCAGGCCTCGTGAGAAGTTTCCATTCACCGCATCCATGGATCCTGCGGCGGTTAATTACCAATCAGATGTTGTTGTGACTTTGGAAACCCCGGTGCTCGTCATCAGCAGGCTTCAGTCAGCTTTGTCCGATCGACAGCTCAGAGCTGCCATGTCGGGCAGGTGGAGTTGTGCTACTTTAGCGCTAGGCGCCCAGGATGTTACGCAAGAGGCCCTGGCAGCAACCCCCGAAAGATCCGAAGCGGAGATCCTAGGAGAACTGAAGGCCGGAGACCGTGCCAGTGCTTTTGTTTCTAGCAATATATCAGCTTACCTAGCTTTCGTGTCTGGTGTGCTGTAAATATAGTGTAGATCGGTCACGGGTTTCCAGTATAGAGTCTTTAAGATCGAAGAGTAGCGAGGCCACACAATCGTGTGGGGTGATAACTTATCCACAGTGTTATAACGAAAACTCGTGTGTGTGTGGACGCCTATATATATACACACATATATATATACATATATATATATATACATATAGATGTATACATATAGATGTATAAGCATGTGTGAGTGTGTGCATGTGCGTGTGTACGCAACTAGTCTATCTCTCTCTTCCCATATCCATATATATATATATATATATATATAGATCAGAACGTTTACTTTATTGTACATGTGTACAGGCATACATATATATATATAACATTCATATATATATATATATATGTGTATAGATGATACGTGTGTATATATATATGTATATATAGACTTCTACGTGTGTGTATGTATGTATACACATGTATCACAGTACATATATATATTACGCATGTATATATACTATGTGTATCTAAATGCACATGCTGTGCATGTTGAAAGGGAACACACACATAAACGTTTGTGTATGCATATACACAAAACGTCATGGACGCAACCATGTGTTGGTCTATGTCTGTAACATTCGATATGTATATATATATATATATATATGAATATGTATATGTCGTTAGGTGTGGTAGACCTACACCCTGCATGATTACACAGACTGGCCATACGCACACACGTATACATATGTGTGGAGCAAGAAAGAGAGAGAAGGTGTTCCTGGACTTTGTGCCGTATATATAAAAATATGTGTACATATATATATATATATATATATCATACTTGTGTGCATATAGAGCCTATATATTCAATAAGGAAACATATGTAACACAATATGAATCGTTCAGTTTCCATAGTTGTCTCTGTACTTAGTAAGTATCAAGCCCCAACATTTTTCCCCATCAGGCTGCCTGGGAGAACGTGGCATTGCCCATGCAACCAACCTGACAGGGTTTCTAGGGCTAGGCAGGTTCAGTATAGTATGTGATGTGTTTTAAATTAAAACACATCACATACTATACTGAACCTGACATAGGGTTACGCGGGGTTTTGACTGGGTATATTCAAACTTAAGCTATAAGAAGGATTCCAAGCAAGCTATGGGATTTGATTGACCGATGGATAAACGGTTCCTGTCACAGGCGCTACAGGCTGAACTTGCTATCCTGGACAAGAAGCCCATCCGCATGGCCTCCATTTCGACTTTGTCTTTGGACTCCCGAGAGGCAAGTGGTGGTATCTAGTATGGTGTTGGCCAATCAGACTGAGCTCCTTCTCATCTACACAGAAGATCCTCTTAGAATATATCTATGTATGTATTTGTTTATATGTAACTTATCCGATGAATCTCATTGCCCAATCCCCAGCAATTATTACGTCCGGCAATTAAATAGCCCAAATTTGACCCAAGCAATCGTGTACCGTGACTGTACACATATTCGTAACATGCAGTAACGTAGTGTGGTGATTATGCAGGATGCACAGCAAGCCCGACCTTCCGAAGACGAGACGCTGCCTGCCCAGTTCGATGAGCCCTTTGAAAATACGCAGGCAAGGTTGCTAGTAAGCTAGTATCACAGGTAAACTCTTACATTGCTATCATCTGATCGGCCGATAATGCATCATAATCATATTTCCCCTGCAGGTCGATGAGCCACCGACACCGGTGCCTCCTCCAGCCATCCCAGCCGTGGCCCCACCGCCTGAGTCGGGAGGTGTGCCGGCAGTGACTGAGCCCAGCCTCCTATCGAAGAGTGAAGAAGAAGATGAGGAGGAACAGGAGGAACAGGAGGAAGAGCAGGGCGAGGAGAGGGCACACAAGATGACGTATAAGATCATGCACACACTGTTGTCGGGTTTGACGTGAACTATCCTGCTGTGGGATCCTGTACATGCATGTCTCTTGCACTCTTGCGTCAAACTGAACGGTCTGTCTCTCCGTGACATTGATCAGGATGAGCCACCGGCCGCTGCAGATCCGACGGGATATCCTGTGGGCCTCATCAAGAAGAAGAAGGCTAAGCGCCCTCCGACGAGGCGTGCAACTTGTCCGACTTTGGTGAGCTAGGCCACTGCGTCCCACTGTAGTGTACTGTACGTTAATATTGCTATACACGAGTTGTCTAAGGAGATGCTGAAGAATGCCGCGAAACAGCGCATTCGCCGCATGGTCAGACCGAAGACGAAACGTTCAGACCTAATGGTGCCGGCCTGGGTGGCTGACCAATGGCACAAAGGGACTTCTCAGAAGGAGGCCATGGCCGCCCTCCTTCAGGAAGTGAACTGGGACAAGGTCGGGCTCCCCTGATAATCCAACTCTGTAGGTATTTTTAACAAATCCTACTAAAACCTTCAAGCCTCAAGCCCTATACACACTATCGCGACCATAATAACTTACGGACGGGTATGTATATACATGTACATGCATAACTTGCATATATTATAAGTTCTACATATTCTTACTACATGCATATATATGTATCTATGATGATAGGTATTGTTTCCTTATGCTGTTAAAATATTCTATTTCACTCATAAGATGTTAATACTGCTGATGTTGTACATACAGATATGTATGGCTTATGTATTTTGTAACTATCGCGAACATCATACGGTTTGCTCTTATGGTGTGTATATATACAATCCATATATATATATATATATATATATATATATATATATATTTAAATATATACATAGATCGATATACAACCCAGCATTTGAAGTTTAGTCTGGCAATTAATTTAATGGGTTTGGGCCAGCCGACCCTGGCAGACATCGTTCCTGAACGAGCTCGAGAAAGTGGTGAAGCGCACCCGCGAGATCGAGATTGTGAAGGATCAAGGTTGGTACTCGCAGAGTGAGATGAAGACAGATCTCAAGTGGTCTTCGTCGAGCCCTTACATTTACATGGGCTCTAGGGGCTGCAATGTACACGGAACACTTATGGACAATACCTTCATGGGGTTTGTGGGGTCCGATGATCAAGGCAAAGGATCACTGCCGCAGTGGCCCATTGCGAGAAGAACCCGTCCCTCTTGATAAGGCACACATCTACTGTTCTTGCGTGCAATCACCGATGAACTGTCCTGATCCATCCCACTTATATACCTGTGCCTGCAGGAGGAACGTCTACGACGGCGTCCTGGAGTACTGGGTGACGGTCAGGGAAACGGGCCGGCATGTCGAGAACCTGAAGGAGGAGGAGATTCAGAGGAGCAGGAGTGAAGCCCCTCCACTGCAGACTCCTTCATGAGCTCTATTTTGCTGCATAGTAACTTGAAGAAAAACTGACTTCAGTACTTGATCGGTCGACACTCATGCAATTCCTCAAGCTAGCATTTCAAGAAAGATCTGTGAACTTTCATGTGTACACGATACTACCGAGGCTGCCAACCCCGTGGAACTGCCCAAGGATGCTTTCGCTGGCTTCGACAACATGACCAAGCGGGTTCTCCCGGAGCCGGCAGGACCTGATGGGAGTGGAGATGCCAAGAAGTCTGAGGGTGAGGCCTGCATGCTATTTGCAAACCAAGATGTCACCCCTATAGACAGTGCTGCTGTATGATTCCGTTCCGCCCTGATGCCCTCAGCAAAAAGCCATCTTCTGGAAATTCATGGAGGGCCTCCTGAGCAAGAGTTCCAAACTCCGGGCCTTGGTCAAGGATTTGAACAAAAAATATTCCAAGGCCACGGAGATGACTGAGTTCGAACCCCAGTGTGACTAGCGTGCCTTTCTGTTGTACCTGTGGCTAAACTAATTTGCTCAATCAAGATGTGGCCTTGAACAGCGAAGCTCGCGCTTCCAGGCATGTCAAGGCCTTGGAGGATGGCATCACGAAATTGGAGAAGGAGCATGACAAGCTCAACTTGCATTGGGCACAAGCGGAGATTAGTGGCTTCAACTCAGAGACCGGGCCTTATTGGGGTTCATTCTCGTGCTCGGGGCCATGATGTTGGGGTTTGCGGGATTGCGAGTGCAGTGCTTGCAAGCTTAGATGGTGGAAGACGGCCGAGCCATTGATGAAGAACGCCACCTATGTGCCCATCCCTGAGTGTCTAAGTCATGGGTCCGTTTATGTGATTACGCTGTTATTTGGTTTCGAATTATGTAGTTTGTGGGCTTGTATGTTACTTGTCGAAGCTAGGTATATATGTGTATATATGGAAGGCTATTCATGTCTTTCATTTAGGTTTTGTGTGTGTGTGTGTGTATATACATGCATGTATACACACATAAAGGCCCTGCAAGTTGCCATAGACATTACAATAAGGTTTTGGGCTTTGGGGATTGGGTTTGGAGAGTGCAATTTCCTGGGCACAGTGCTACGATGTTACCTGGTTCCATACCTGCATACTACCGCCTCAGGTCTAGCCGAGCCACAGCCGGCGATCTTCGTGCGAGGACCGTCAATGAAAAACCCAGATGCTCCAACAAGCCCAAAACTACAAGCTCCCAAACCCTCTAAACCCAGTAAGACCCTTATATACACCAATCCCATATATGGTAAGTACATATGTGTATATCCATATGTATATGTATAGAGCACATGCCCCAAAAAAAGCCCTCAATATTACAATACATATATAGACTTTAATATAATTACAAACATACCCCTAACCCTCGAAAACCCCCAAAAGCCCTATATGCAAAACAAAACCATGCAGGAATGCGAAGAAACACATGGAGAAGGATGGGAAAGCTGGTCCTGAAGTGGCCGCTGCCAAGGCTAACCCCAGCAAGGCTGTGGCCAAGGCCAAGGCAAAAGAGGCGCCGGCGAAGCGCAGGAGGAGATCCTGATGTTTTATCGGGACGGATCACTCGTCTGCTACACAGCAGGCACTGTGCGATCGATGTTTCCACTAGATTCGTCGGTAGCCCTTGGATGTAGCGAGGTTCATGTTTCACACTGATCGTGCCTCTGCCTGAGCTCTTCCACTTGTGTTGTTTCGCACACTCTAATTTATGTAAGTGCAGAAGTGCTTGGTTGAACACCGTAAGCTCCTAGCTGCTTGACGTCGAAGAGCCTGGTGTGGCTTATGCGCCGCATATACCACAATCTGTCTTTGCAGTTTTATACACCCTACGGTTATAGTGGCTTCATATCTGTACAGACCCATAATCGCAGCTAATATGTTATACCATATACAAGATAAAAAGGTCTTGTTGTGTGTTTTGGGGTCAAAGACAGCAGCCAAGGGCCGGGTGCATGGTCGTGTGCGCAATCTCGTTTTCTTGTTCGGCTTTCTAGAAGTCGAGTGAACTCTCAGTTCGAAGCTAGCTATGCTCACGGGCCGGGGAAAGGCTCTTTGTGCGCACTCCGAAAGAAAACCAATAGCTCTGCCTGCATGCATGCGGTGAATGCCAAATCCCGAATAAGCTAACCCGAAATGAAACCCGATCCCCAAATAATGCTAAGAAGGATTCAGCCCATCATGTTCGAGCAAATTTTCAAATCCACCAACAGAAAACCCCGCGATGCATGCCAGGTGCTGCAGGCCCAGCTTTGCGAAGATGGATCCAGGACATCGGTGATGGGGCCCCCGACCTAGCCGGGCTTCACTCGGAATTGTTACTTGATGCTGTGGGCTTGATTTGTCTGGACCCGGCTTGTTGTGGCATGCTTCCGTGGCTCAGACTTTTGCAAGTGCCGGCTAGAATGTAGACTTCAGAGAGGTTTCGTCCGATGGCGTGCTCGGTGTCTTACGAAGATGCAGATGACGAGCTGTGGGATTTGCTAACGTGTCATAGAAGTGCCACTGGTTTGCAATCTCGTCTGAACAATGCTTTCACCCCAGCCCAGAAGCAAACAGATTTCTGCACATAAGCATCCCAGGAAAAAGATGGTCCGTTTCCATGGATGAGCCCGGCATCTACCTCGAATCGAAGTGGCTGTCAGCAAGAGCAGTATTCTCGGCTCGGTGCTGATAACAAAGTGCCCTGCAATACTGTAGCTTCCACCCTATTCCGCAGAACTCAATCTTCTTGGAAAGATGCAGACCTCCCTGAAGAAGTGCTCATCCTTCCTACAATCAGGGACGTACTTAAGCGAGTTGATGCTCATGACAAAGTCTGTTGGAGGTTACCCGTCCGTGCTCGAACAGCCGGAGGTGTTCTTCGTCATGCGATCAAAACCATAGACTCTTTGCAGACCAGATTGTCGCCAATGCTGTTCAAGATTGGAATGACCCATGATGCAGTTAGGCGATGGGAGTGTCCGGAATACGGCTATGTGCACGAGAGGGATCATTGGGAAGGCATGGTAATATTATTTCTATGCCCCGAGAAATTCTCCCCAGCAATGCTGGAAGCTGCGCTCATAGAGAAATACAGCAGTTCCCTGGCCGGTGTTGAGAACCATGCTCTATCAATCCCGCTAACCTACCCATATGCCTATATCCTTTTACACCTGCGGCTATTTTTATGATTTCTCGTGATTTCCAACCAGCCGAGGTGTGCCTGGATGTCGAAACATTCGGCTCGGCGGAGACAACCTGAGCAAAGATGATGCATTGCCGGCTGTACACATGACATATGTTGTGTACCGGAGCTTGAAGCACAAGCCATGTGACACGGTGAGCATGTGAACTTCTTGCTGCACAATTCAATCGCAATCCACATATGCACTGGATCATGCAAGCAGCTGAAATCGAAGCTGCTTGAGCAATGCTTTAATTAGAAAAGTACGGGACGGCCACGTGATTCCATGGAGGTTTCCCGATCAATGGAAAAGACGAGTCTGCCTCGATGCGATTCTGCTCATGTGTGCCGTCGTCGTCGTGTCTAGACACATCAGGCAAGACATCTGTGAGTGTAAAACACTAGCTTGTTTGTGCTTGTGTAGTTCAGATCGACTGTTTGTCTATGATGAGTCACTGTCTGGAATTTCGTTATTGACGTTCGATCTGTTGCATGCACTGCATGACTGCACCCAAACCCACGCCGCACGTGCTGTGCCGAGGCTCCGGTCACCTCTGCGATTCGAGCTGCCCGTGCGGTGCTTGAAGAAGTGCCAGAGGCTGTGGGCTCCAGCATCAGGATTATGGCTGGGTGCAAAGAAAACAACAGCGAGCGTGACGCCCACAGAGTTGCCAGACAGTGCCGGCTGACGCTACCCATCATGATTACTGAAGTCATGCTTCATGGATGGCCAGTTCCCTTGATTTTGCTCAGTGCATGGCTCACGATTTTGCTGGGTCGGAACCTCCTGCATACACTGTCTGGGCTAACCCACCCCGACCTCACAAGGTGTCACTCGACCTGGAAGTGTTTCTGGGCCCGATATCAGAAGATCCACCCGCACCATGATATATTCCGCAGAGCAGCTGCAGGAGAGGTTGATTTGTCAAGGACGGTTGGCCTGATTTTGCATGGGGATGAAGGCCGCACGAAGAAGAAGTCGGCCATCCTTGTAGTGTCATGTCACTCGATACTAGGTTATGGCAGCAATGCAGCAGCAGATGCACACCCCGAGCCATTCTGCAAACAGTACCTCAACCTGACTCGCCACACCTTATCTACCCGCTGGATTCTCGGCTGCCTTCCTAAAACCTACTACGAGTGTGAAGACGGTGATCGGTTCTTCCAGGATTACCTCGATGTTTTCGTGCAGGACTTTCTCCAAATTTACGAGAAAGGCATCAAAGCAGTGACTGGTGAAGTATATCATTTCGTGATATTGAATGTCATCGGGGATTGGCCTTGGTTGACAAAGGCCTTCGGACTACTGCGAAATTTCCAGAACTGCTCCAAGCAGGAGTCTTCGAAGGCCGCGCCGAAGGGGATCTGTCATTGCTGCAAGGCCGATATGGAGAATTATCCGTTTGAAGATTTTGTTTCGGCCTCTCCAGCCTGGCGTGAGACCATCAATCAAGAAAGAGCGTATCGGGGCTCTCCGAGTTTGTGGTCGCTGCCAAAGGATCCTACGGATGAAACCGCATTCCTGGGACAAGATATCTTCCACGGCTTTCACTTAGGTGCGGCCAAGCAGTTCCTCGCTTCATGTTTGGTCCTCTTGCATGAAATATTCCCGGGAAGAAGCATACCAGCACGATTCGAAGCCATGTCTTCTGACTTTCTGTCGTGGTGCAAGCGGCACAAGCAAAACCCTCTGATCAGGAAAATCTCGCGCGAAACAGTTGGCTGGCCTAGTTCAGCAGACAACCCGACTGCGAGCTGGAGCAAAGGATCCACGTCGACATGTGTTTTGCGCTGGTTTCTTAGTGCGTGTGCTCGGCATGCACATTTGATTGACGAGGGATCAATTCTTCAATACGCTTGTCTCGCGGCTCGAGAGATCAATTCCTTTCTCAGCAAGAGCTACAAAGAAGCTGTTTGGATCTGGCATACCAAGTCTTTGGAGATTTCCAGGCACGGCTTCAGATTTCTTCGCTACCTCGGCCATTGTGCCCGTCTATCTTACAACAGTGGGCGCCCGCTGTTTTTGATGACCCCAAACCTCCACCGGCTTCACCATTTATTTTACATCTTATGGGATCAAGCACAGTTGTCCGAGTGGACCCTCAATATTTGTGTCTTCTGTTGCCAAATCGAAGAAGACTATATTGGGCGGCCCAGCCGCACATCGCGGCGGGTCGCCCCTCAGCAAGTAATTCGTAGGACTCTAGAGAGGACACTAGCCGCATCCTACGCCAAATTCGTAGAAGCAGGGTATCTGATCCCAAGCCAGTTCCATGCCTGATCGATGAAGTATATACTAATATATTAATTGATCTTATTTGACGCGAATTTCTATATGATATGTGGTGCAGTGATAAAAACCAACAGGCAAGAACTTCCATAGGGATGCCCTCTAAGCCCGCTGCGTGTGGTCATCGACCACGACGAAGGTGTGCATGAAGCCGAAAAAGAGGCACACATCAGCAGTTTGCAGGAGCTTTCAAGTCGAGATTCATGCTTCATGTCATTCATGTCTTATGTCTGAATCCCCGAAAACCCAAAACCCGGTTTCCTCCTACAAAACCTGGTTATTTCCACCAACCTGCTTTATAATGGGTTTTGGAGGGCGTAGGCATGGCAGATCGGCCCCCGAATACAGGCGGCCATGGAGCCTCCCGCCCGAAAGGGCAGGGCAAGGCGAAGAAGTGGGCTAGCACCACGAGTGAGGACAACGAGACGGATACGGATCTTGGGCGACCGCCCTCACAGGAGAGCTCCTATGAGGGAGCGGCGAGAGAACAGGATGTTGATCCGCCGCTACTGGCTGGGGACCTCGGATAGATGCGCTGCTCTCTTTGAGCAGCTGGAGAGGCAACCGCTAGACGACCTGGCGGAGCTATCGGCGATGGCCCGTGAGGCGAGGGATAGGGCCTTGGTGCAGATGGCCCAGCGCCCGGGCCAACCGAAGGCTATGGGCTGTCGCTCAACCTCCAGCACGCCACGCCGTGGGACGATATCACGGCGGAGGCGGAGAGGCAGCTGGATATTCCGGAGCAGATCTAGCAGCAACCAACCAACATGCAACGGTCTAACCTTGCTAGGCGGCTAGAGAACATGACCTCCATGTTCTGATAAAGGAGATTCGCTGCTGGCTAGGGACCTCGGATAGATGCTCGGCTTTCTTCGAGCAGTTGGAGAGACAGCAGCTGGATGACATGGCGGAGCTCACGGCGATGGCCCGCGAGGCCAGGGATAGGGCCCTGGTGCGCCTGGGGCAAGATGTCCGAGAGGCGACTGCGACTCCAGCACGCTACGAAGTGGGATGATATTTCTGCAGAGGCGGAGAGACAGCTGGATTTACCGGAGCAGATCTATCTGCAACAGAGGATATCAGCCAACGCGCGAGCGGCTAACGTGGATACAGGATACATCCCGGGGGACATCAACACGCCGACAGCCTCGAGGAGCAGGAGAGAGCTTCGGGACCTGAAGCCGGAGAGACCCCCACCTGTTGCTTCGCGCGGTGGGGCTGGAAGGGAGGCGAGCTCAGCGGGGGGCATGTTCGGGAAGCCCGCGGCGAGATCCGACGCCGGAGGCCCATGGCCGGGCTAGTGCTAGCTTCCCGTCCCAGGAGAGGGTGGCAGCGGAGGCGGCGGCCAATGCTACGGAGCAGCGTCATGGAGAGGCTAGCGCAGCGCAGCGGCTAGCAGAGGAGATTGGTTCGGCGACCTCGACTGGGCGGTCGGGCCACTAGTGGAGCTAGGCGTGGATAGAAACACTACCCCACGAGGATAAACAGATCAAGAGGCTATCCCAGGCGTGGTGCGAGAACGAACTGGATAGAGGCCCCAACCTGAGAGTGGCATGACCTGGATAAGGCACCTGGAGATGATCTGGGATACTTGGCGCGGCCGACGCCGAAGAGCCGCTTAGGGCGAGGGCCTGCTAACGAGAGGTCCTGGCAGAGACGGTTAGAGGAGCGCTGCAGGAGGGCGCCTGCCCCCACAACCTGGATAGGCCGTCGGCGGAGCCAGTCAACGAGGGGGCGGGGGAGGTGACACACGAGTTGCGGAGAGCACCCCCTTGTCGATAGCGCAGGGGCAGCCCTGGGGGAGAGGACGTGGGTGGCCAGACCAGACCGCCTGGTAGAGTGGCCGCTAGGGAGCTACCAAAACGAGGTCTCGGCTAAGACCATCCAAGTCGAGATCCCCCAGCAGGGGTGGATATCGTACCGCCCCGGTGTGCGAGGGATAGGGCGCTGGGACGCCAAGGGGGCTATTTTTCGCTGTATAGTTGTGTGTGATAGGTGTGGGATAAATCAATGCAACAAACGAATGTTTGCGGCTATTGAGAACCACGCTTGCCCTTGCCACGCCCCTTGCCGCCACCTTTGGTATCCGTGGCCTGGGGCGTATCGGTGTTCCAGGGCTGCGGCCTCTTGGTGCATAGCGAGAGGGGAGTGGTGAAGTGCCTCTCCTTAGTAGCCGCATCTCTCCAGGCAAGGGCCAAGGCATCTGCGAAGCTCATGGAAAGGCTAGCCATCTGCTTGTATGCAAACTTCCGGACAGCCTTCTCGTACGAGATAACGAGGGTCCACGGGGGGGGCCAAGGACCCGCTAGCTTCGTTGGACCTTAGCCCATAGCAGAAGTCGCCGAGCAGGTAATCTTTGTATTTCTCAAACAACTGCTGGGTCGTATCCTTCAACTCCACACGGCTCGGGTGGTGTAGCTGTATCATTAGCAGGGCATTAGCCATCACCGTTAGCCGTAGCCGGAGCTGTTCCGGGCCCGTGGGAAGAGCTCCTTTGGAGCTAGCCCTCTTGAGCACCACCGTGCCTTTGGTATTTTATTGCGGGACCAGAGCCTCTGGATCTATTTCGTCCGGGGCAAGGACCTCGGTGAGGGGCTCTGCCCTGAACTCGCCGGTCTCTAGCTCATGGAGTTTCTTTTCGATGTACTCCTTAGCCGGCACGTGCTTATCCTCTGGCTCTCCGAACTTTGCGGCAAAAGCCTGCCGCATCGCCGCATTAGCCCGAGAGAGTGGAGGAAGTATCCAGAAACCCGGAGAGGACGGAAGGAGGAGATCCCGCCCCACCCCCCCCACCCCGACGGCTCTCCTCTCTCATCTCCTTGGACCTCTCTCTCCCTGCCCGCAAAAAGGAACATGGCACATGCTCTCGCCCACCGTCCTTTTCTAGCCAGCGTGCACTCTCCGAGCTGTAGCTAGCCTAGTCGCGACCCGGCCGGCACACCCTACAGGTGTGCCCCAGGTCCTATTTGCTATCGTTTCAACTCTAAAAACGGTGCAAGAAAGGCGAGAAGTGCCACTTCGTGCAGTCTGCACGAAATGCCTGGGCGACCGCCCGGCTACGAAGTGTCCGAGAGGCAGACCGCCGGCTACGGAGCAGCCGACCCCGGCTAACTGACCCGGCTCTGGGCTACGCTCCTCCAGGCTACGAGCGCTCTTCCTCTTTTCCGGGAAGGATACAGCTGGAAGCCTTGCAGCATTCCTCCGGCGATTGGCGGCTACATTTTCCCGCGAGGTGGTTGTCGACCTTGTGGATAGTTCCCGTGGGCGCCGCTACGACCTCACACAGTCTAAGGTCCGGCGACGATATCTCGACCTTGTCGAGCAGGGCTACTATGACATGATTTTCATGAAGCCGCCGTGTGCTATTTTTTCTCGGGCGACCTGAGCTAACTTCTCGGGTCCGCGACCCGTCCGCAGCTTCGCCAAGCCTCGGGGAGAGGACATTCTCACGGCGAGGGAAAGAGACCGAGCTATTGCTGGCAACATTTTTGCTGGTTTTTGTTGGGATATGGCTAAATTAGCTGCACACGGTTCGGCTAGTTTCCTGCTGCTAGAGCAGCCGGAAGACCTTGGGGCGATGCCGGCAGGGCCGCACAAACGCGAGAGACCGGCTAGCATGTGGCAATGGCCGCAACACCAGGAGCTCATACGGCTAGGCCTCATTTCTGCGGCCTTCCACCGGGATAACTTTGTTCCCGGCGAGGTCAAGCCCACAAGGATACTCGTGAAGACGCACTTGCAGCTACCTGACTTCACGTGGCGAGGCAGTCCGAGCTTCGACGGCGCCGGCTACTACACAGGCCCCCTGCCGGCGAGGACGCCCCCGGCCACAAGCCCCTCGGCCATGCTCGCCAAGAGGGCGGGCGGCGTCTGGCCCCCCAAATTCTGCGAATGGCTAGCTCAATTGGCCTTGGCTACCTGCTGCACGTCTGCTACTCTGACCGATGGGGCTAAGGACTACCACAACGGTGGCCTGGTCGCTGGCCCAGGGATCGGCGGGGCTATGCCGATGACCCTTCATGGAGATGGCTACGTGGGAAGATCAGGGAGATCGTCCTGGCTAAGACGGTTCGGAAGATGAGCTGGAGAAGGAGGCCTTCTGGATGGCAGAGCTGGGCGAGACGGGATGCAACCTGGTGAGATCGAGGCTATCCATCAGGAGATCCTCCAGCTGCTCCAGAAGTGGATAGAAGGACAGGATAAGAGCGAGCCCGGCCTCTTGGATATCGTGGAAGGCCAGCCTCTACGTCTTCGGCTACTTCGTGTCATCCTGGACTGGAGATAGCTGGCGATCCGGATAGAGAGTTCCTGCGCCGTGCTGAGACCGGGCTACCTACTGGGATCCTCGAAGGGCTACCCAGGACTCCTCACGTCTTTGAGGAGCAGACTTCCTGGAGGCTAGAGGACCTCTCTTGGGAGCCGGGGCTAGCGTGGGTTCCCAACGGACCACCGCGCCTTCGTTCGGGATAAGTTCGAGGAGGACGTCAAGGAGGGGCTCATGGAGAAGATGACCCTCGGCAATTTCAAGGCGAGATTCGGCGAGGACAGAGCGATTGCGGCCTTGGCGATCTGACAGTCGAGGACGAGGAGAAGGATAAGAAGAGGATAATCCATGATGCCACCCATATGGCGTCAAGGTCAACAACCGGATAAAATGCTGAGACAAGCTCCGCGCACCTGGGGCTAGGTCCGGCTCGTTCGGGTCCATCTCCTGAAAGGTTCCTATCCGATAGACCTGCTCCATCCTAGCCACATAGGACGGCACGTCGCCAGGGGACCGGTATCCCTTCATGCACCTAGCCAAGAAGTCCCTTTGGCTCTCGCCTGGGTGAGGGTACTCCGTGCCCGCCCTCAACCTATCCGCGGCGGTGGTAGCCGCTGCCCTAGCCTGCTGCGGCCCTGGCCCAGGATTGACCTGCTGGGCTGGGTCTATCCCGGCCGAGAACGGCATTGTCGTAGCCGCTTCCTCGGTAGCCGGTGCCCCATCTCGCCGCTGCTTGTTTTTATCCTTGGTCTGCTGGACCGTTGCGGGTCTCTAGCCGGCTTGGGTGGCTTGCCGCCCGCCTCGCTGGATGTTTTTTAAGGGGCCTGCTTGCTATCCCCTGTGCTGGCCGGGGCAGCAGTAGCCCGGACCTCTGTGGAGCCGCCGCACTCGAAGTAGCCGGCTGCGATGCAGCAGCCTCGGTAGCCTCTCCTGCTTCTCCCTGCCAGGGTGTATCCTCCAGATCATCTGTCTGCTCGCTATCCTCCTCTAGCGTCTCTAGCCCCCACGGGGTATCGTCCCAGTGCCTGGTGGTCTGGTACTGGACTATCCGGGCAGAGAGTCTGCCACCGGGCTGAATGCTGCACACAGGCTCGCCCACCTAGCGTGGGCTCTCCACAATCTTGGTGGGCCGTTAATTCACCCTTCTAGCCGCAGTAGCCACGGCGGATTCTTTTGTGCAGAGCTCTAGCCGACAACAACTCACACTGCAGCACATGTGCACATGCCGACTAGCCTGCCTCAACAAGAAGCACAAGTGCAAGAACGTGATTCTCTCCTCTCGCTCTCCCCTCCTTTCTCCCCCTCCCCGCGAGGTCCACCGCCCCCCAGGGAGATGGGAAGGAAGGAGTGTATCCCGAGAGGCCCCCCCCAAGAAGTATCCCCTGCGTTGCCCCGCGGCACAAAAGCGCAAGGCGGCAAGGAAGGCTACATCCACCCGGAGAGCGACCACCCACTGGATAGAAGGCTAGGTGCCGGTCGCTACAACGA